AGGAATTTGGCCTACTATTGGTGTTGGTGGTCACATTAGTGGAGGAGGATATGGCATGATTATGCGGAAATACGGCCTTGCTGCTGACAATGTCATTGATGCTCAACTGATTGATGTTAAGGGTAGAATCCTTGACAGATCATCGATGGGAGAAGATCTGTTTTGGGCCATTCGAGGCGGTGGAGGAAATACTTTCGGAGTTGTTGTCGCATGGAAATTGAAGCTGGTTCCAGTTCCACCTACAGTGACTGTCTTCACCGTCCCAAGAACCTTGGAACAAAATGCAACAAAGCTTGTCCATCGGTGGCAATCGGTTGCGAGTAAGCTTCACAAAGATCTCACTATTGCCTTAGTCCTAAGGAGAATCAATTCTAGTGAAGAAGGAAAGACAACAATATTAGCTGCATTCACTTCCTTGTTTCTTGGTGGAGTTGATAGACTCCTTCCATTGATGCAAGAGAGCTTTCCCGAGCTCGGTTTGGTTAAAGAAGATTGCATCGAAATGAGCTGGATCGAGTCTGTCCTCTATGTTGTCGGATTCCCAAGTAATGCATCCTCGGATGTTTTGCTAGGTAGGACTCCTCTAACTAACAGAAACTTCAAAGGAAAATCTGACTACGTTGAAGAACCCATGCCGGAAACTGCATTAGAAGGGATTTGGGAACGATTCCTTGAAGCAGATATCGACACGCCTCAAATGGTCTGGGCTCCTTATGGAGGAAAAATGGATGAGATCTCAGAAACTAGCATTCCATTTTCACATCGATCCGGGAATCTGTACAAGATTCAACACTTGGTGTTTTGGGACGAAGAAGGCAACGAGGCATCGAACAGGCATATAAGCTGGATCAGAAGGCTTTACGATTACTTAACTCCTTATGTTTCAAAAAACCCTCGAGCTGCATATGTCAATTATAGGGATCTTGACATAGGCATAAATAATATTCAAGGAAACACAAGTTATCGACAAGCAAGTATTTGGGGTATCAAATACTTTGACAATAACTTTGATATGTTAGTGTCTGTGAAGACTAGAGTTGATCCTACTAATTTCTTTAGAAATGAACAAAGCATCCCACCTCTCTCTTCCTAGCTAAAGGAGGGAGATAGGGAGAGATGAAATTAAATGGTAATAAAGATGTTGTCAAAAATAGTTTTTTCTTCTTTTTTATCACAATTTGTGGCCTGAGATTTCACTCATACACAGTTTAATTAGGTTGGTGAAAAATTGTGTTCTCGTATCTTTCACTTTATCCCTTGGCTAGTTAGCTCAGTGAAAAATTAGCATCGGTTATCCAGATATGTAATGCAATAGGCTTTCCCTCTACAGCCAGCACATTCTACAGATTCTTGCTGCTGAGTATTGCAATTCTACGTAGTGTTTCTGACTGGTTTACTCATAGTGGAGCACAGAAAAAGAGAGCTAAAACAGAGGAAAACAGGGTGGTTTCAAAAGGAAAACAGAGAAAACAGAGTAATTTCCAAATCAGAAAGAAAATACAAGGGGTAAATGTTAAAAACTTCGACCGAAATATGAATTAATAGCAAGACTTTAAAACTCCAAACCTTTGAAAATGACTCATAATAACATAGAAATTCTAATGAATTGCAATATTATAAGCATTCTTTAATTTCATATGTTGATTAAATGTGCTTATTGTGAAACCATTTTAACATTGTTGGCAAAGTCAACAATATTTTATCAACAATGTTATGCATCAATTTGTTAACAATGTTAGGCACAAATTTGGTGTCACCTACCTTACCCTTGTCTTTTGCATGGATGTTTGCCTATAAATAGGCAATGCATCCAAGCATTATAGATACACCACAAGAGAGAAAGAAAAGAGGGTGAGGAGAGAGTAATCCCACAAAATTATGAGGTATTTGTGAGATAGTAAGTGTGGTGTTTTCTCCTACTAATAGAGAGATTTTTGTTGTTCTCCTATTATTAGAGAGAAGTTGTATTCCCATATTACTTAGTAAAATTCTTCTATACTTGCCTGTGGACGTAGCCCAATTAGATGAACTATGTAAATTCTTGTGTGTCTCATTTTTCATTTATCTTGTTTCTTATCTTTTATCTTGTCGGGTTTGCATGCCAGTATTCTAACACTTATTGACTAATTGAAATAATTAAGTAAACGAAGTTTGGTGAGTCAAAATTCAGAAGTTTGGAATTAACTAATCAAAATTGGAAGGAAAAGGTCTGAATCTTGGAAAGAAATTTCAGAAAGGCTCATCGCATGTGTGGATGATGAGATACCGTTTCATATACTATGATATAAAATAGGATCATCTCCATTTGAACACAATATAATAGCTTTCATCTTGATCTGTTGTCAATGCAGATAACCGATAGTCCTGGAGGAGATGCTTTGTTATTTGCAGTCAATCTTCAACTTCAAGTTTCTTGCGATGCAAGTTCAAACATCTACTAATTTACCTTTTCTACTTTTAATCTGTTATCACAAATTTCTCTTTCTTTCTGTGGTAGTTCTTCTCTTCAGTTCTATAAATAAAATGGTTCCCCGCAGGGCTGTATGCTAAAAATCAAATGATCGAAATGATTTCTCTTAGTTCTTCAATGCTGCCGCTTCTGTTTGTTCTTCTCTTTTCATTCTCATGGGTGACTTCAGCTCACACTCATGAAGATTTTATTGAATGTTTTTCCCTTTACGTTGAAGACTCCACAGACATTTCCAAAGTCATTTACACCCAGAATGACTCTTCATATTCTTCTGTGTTGCATTTCGCAATACGAAACCTTAGGTTCAATTCTACTACCCTAAAGCCTCTTGTCATTGTTACACCGACGAATGTATCACACATTCAGGCTGCCATTCGTTGTTCCCAGAAAAATAATTTACAAATTAGAATTCGAAGTGGTGGCCATGATTTTGAGGGTCTCTCTTACATGTCTGTTCTGCCGTTTGTCATCCTTGATCTAATCAATTTTCGATCAGTCACCATTGATGTAACTAATAAAACTGCATGGGTTCAGGCTGGTGCAACTGTAGGGGAACTTTATTATCACATTGCTAAAAAAGGCAGAACACTTGCCTTCCCAGCAGGTATTTGCCCTACTATGGGTGTTGGGGGACACTTGAGTGGTGGAGGGTATGGAGCCCTGCTTCGTAAATATGGTCTTGCTGCGGATAACGTAATTGATGCAGAATTAATTGATGCTAATGGTAGAGTTCTCGATAGAAAATCGATGGGAGAAGATTTGTTTTGGGCCCTTCGAGGTGGTGGAGGAAACAGCTTTGGAGTGGTTATTGCGTGGAAAATAAAATTGGTTGAAGTTCCACCCACGTTGACAGTCTTCAATGTCTTAAGAACCTTGGATCAAAATGCAACCCAACTTATCCATCGGTGGCAATACATTGCAAATAAGCTCCATGAAGATCTCATGATCACGACATATATAAGAAGAGTTAATTCCAGTCAAGGAAATCCAACAATACAGGCTACATTTGCAGGTTTCTTTCTTGGAGGGGTGGACAAGCTTCTTCAATTGATTAATGAGAGCTTCCCCGAGCTTGGTTTAGCGAAAGATGATTGCCTTGAAACAAGCTGGATTGAGGCTATCATCCTTAACAGATTTCCAGGTAATACATCTTTGGAACTGTTGCTTGATAGGACTCCTCGATTTGTATCTAATTACAAAGCGAAATCTGATTACGTCAAGGAACCTATGCCTGAAAATGCGTTGGAAGGTATATTTGAAATGTTCTTGGAAGAGGACATTGAAACACCTAGACTGCTATTAGTTCCTTATGGAGGAAAGATGGACCAGATTTCTGAGTCTAGCTCTCCATTTCCACACAGAGCTGGAAATATATACAAGATTGAGCATCAGGTGTCTTGGAGTGAAGAAGGCAAGGAGGCATCTCAAAGACACATTGATTGGATTAGAAGGCTTTACAGTTACATGACTCCTTACGTTTCGAAAAATCCTCGAGAAGCATATATCAATTACAGGGATCTTGACATTGGAATGAATAACCTGGCAGGCAACACAAGTTATAAACAAGCAAGCATTTGGGGTAGGAAGTATTTCAAGAACAACTTTGACAAGCTGGTACGCGTGAAGACTGCTGTTGATCCTGCTAATTTCTTCAGAAATGAGCAGAGTATTCCGCCTCTCTCGTCCTGGTGATCGGAGGGGGATAACACATGACAGGGTTGGAAGAAGATTCATCACACTAATAATATAATTTTCTGTTTTAGATGTCTATAAAGTTCACTTCATCAACATTTATTGCATGGCATTTCATGCACGGTCCAATATTTTGATCATTGTAATAAAAATAAATATGGTCATTGGAGATATTTGAATTGAATGAAAAAAATTTCCTTCTATGATGATCTAAATTGTGAGATTTCATTCAAATTAAATATGATATATTGCTCTTGTATTCTTATAATTCGATCTTCTCCCTTGGCATAACGAAAAATTGGTCTTGGTCAATGCTCGTGCTCTTGAAGTGAGATACGTATCAAAGGCTCAAATTCAAGAGAAAATTCGGATGTGTCTAATGAGTCTTCTGATAAAACAAAAAAAGGAACATAAATTTTAATCCTATTATTGGATAGGGCTAAAATTTTATGAGTGTGTTCTACTTGTTTCTTGTGAGTTTAGCTGGCTAGCATTAACTGAGGTCAAGAACATGTCCAAATTAAACCTAGAAAATGCTGTTTCGGAATTTTCTCTGGTTGTTTTAGGATTCCTTTCTTAATCAGGTTTCAAAGTTTTATTTGATTTAGGTTTTTTAGGCTCCTTTTTAAATAGTTCTATGTATCAGTTGAACATGATCATAGGGTAAGCATCAGCAGACACTATTCTCTATATTTTTGAGGAAGAGAAACAGAGAGGCAAAATCAAGAAAACAGAGTAGTTTATGAGAAGAAAACAGAGAAAACAGTGTATTTTTAATATAAAAACAGAGAAAACAGAGAAATTTAAATACTTCAAAAGACACAGATCACCAAGGGCAGGTGTTGAAAGATCATTCTCTCTATTAAATATTTTTGAAGATGACATAAAGTTTATTAATTTGCATGTCTAGAAATATTATAAGCTTCCTTCAATGGTTGAATGAGCGTGTTCATCTGATTGCATGCTCGAAGATTACGACACACAAGGGCTTCTGAAGCCATCATTGAACAGTGCTAAGAAGAAGTATCATTTATGAATCAAAATCCAACTGCTTGGACATTGACTAATCAAATTTGAAATAGAAAATGTCGAATACTAGAAAAGTAGTGCATATGAGCGGAAGAAAGTACTGTTTTGGACAGCTCCATTCGAAGGTAATGTGATGATAGCTTAGGTTACACACACATGTAGAACCGAGTTTAGATAAACGGGTAGACTGCTAACACAAACCATCTGATGAGCTAGTATAGAACAATGATAGAAACTAGTTAACTAGTCGACTGGTCCAACCAACCAATTAACTAGTTGATTAGGATTTCTTGTTATCTTCAACAGCCCATAATTTGACATTAAATCAGTTTGTTTAAAGCTAACTAATATCCTAATACATAAATTAAAACCCTTAAATCCTACAATCACCCTAAACACTTCTTAAATCCTTCCATAATTAATCTCTTTGTGAAAAAAAAAACTAAAAAGAGAATCACTGGCTTGTTTCTTTAATCTTTCTTGAATCAAAACTTAAGCTAAAACCAAAATCTCTGGATATATGAGAGGAAGTTATAGTAGAGAGAAGAAAAGATGAAAAGAGACAAACAATTCTCAGATAATTTTGTTTTTTAAATATCTAAGTTAGTTGGGTTGAGTTTGAGCTGAACTTTAAAGTTGGATCTAATGAGCCACGAATATAGTTCTTACAAGATCAAAGCAGTCCAAGTTCAAAGATATATCCATGGAACACCTAACCTTCACGATTCAATTACATAGGAGGCAACTGGATTATGTATATGTTGAATGTGATCAACGACCATTTACTATCAAACGCTTACATCTAAATCACATATTAATTGAGAACATAGTTTCTAAGAACCAAAACTGATGTAGAGGGTTTTGAACAATAGGATGTGGATTTGTTTAATAGACGATATGGAAAGATTAGTAGACACATTTACGAACTAGTGAGATAGATATAAGCCTAATAAGAAGTTTAGCTGTGCCCAACGACATCAACTTTC